TGCAGCAGGTCGCGGTGGTTCCGTCAGTCGCTCCAGGCGTCGTCGCTGTGGCCTGGCGAGGCGTGCCCCGGTCACCGTTCTTGAAATTTCGTCAGTCCCCTCCTTGTAAAAATGTAAAAGTGCGGCAGCCAAAAACATGCGATCATTCACGGTCTCCCCCAGGCTTGTGCATGGGAGTGACACACCTCTGAGTGGTAACGAAATGCATGCAGTCCGCCTCGCCGCTGCCTCGACAAAGCGGCCCACCCTGCCTAATTCAAGACTCTGGTTCGCCCCGGTGGTTGGCCGGCTACGCAAACCTCGTCGCCGGGTCGGCCTTCCCCTCAGCGGTGGCCAAGGTTCCAGCTTTCCCGGCTAGGGGGCGCGCCCGTGCACGACACCACACCAAGGTTCCAGTCTCCCCCCTACCCAAAATGTAACATGTAGCTTGTTGGTTGGTCATTGATTTTCTCTCCAAGTCAACTTTGTTTAAGAAGCTCTGCGGGAAGGTGGTAGTACTCCTTTGCCATGGCGGTCTGGAGGAGAGCGCACAGATTTGTGCACCGAAGATCTTCTATGTAACCGTCTCGAACCAGAATGTCACGCCATGTGGCTCAAGCCGGGGGTGGGTTCCGACTTGAGCCAAAATGCTCTCTCTCTCTCTCTCTCTCTCTCTTTCTTTCGCCAGGGCTGGGGGAAAGGGCGCGCGTTAGCGCCCCCGACGGGTGGGGAGCGAGTTATTAACTCGGTATCCTCCAGGAAGGCAGAGGTGAGCAGTGTAAGAAAGATGCGCCATCAACCGGGCAGTAGAATGTGTGTAAAGCGAAATGCAAGAATGCGAGGAGGGCTCTCTCCTCTCGCTGTGTCTCTCTCTCACTCACTCTCATGCAGCTGGTATGCTCGTGATGCAGTCTCGGTGCATGTGGTTGCAGCCACCATTTCTCTGGATGCTAGCTCCGCAGGTGCATGTTTTGGAGTTTTGGCTCAACCACTTGTTCGTTTCCTTGGCTCAAAAGGGGCTCCGGCTAAACGACGACACTCAGTGCAAACGTTCTCAACGGAGCCACGTCCTCCATCTGCTTCCGGACTTTCGCCAGATCTCCCAGGAAATCTTGCCATGGCTGACACGGAACCTTAGATAAAGAACGGTTGGTCTTGTTGGCGGTCGTCGTGCGAGGTATCCGAGGCATCGGCAGGCTCATGGCCACCTAAAGCCTTGCAGTTGAAGCAGAACTGGGCGCCGCAAGAGCAAACCGCAGTTATAGACCTCAGCGAGCCACAAATAAGGTATTTACATGAAACAGGGCATGATCTGCAGAGGAACAGGGACTTGCCGTTCTGACTCTCCTGCCATTCCGGGATCAGACGGGCGCAATTCAATTTCGCGCAAGAAGGCGAAGAAAACGCTCCCCCGCCTGGCGCGGCACAGACACGGCCCGTCCACAGCCAGGAGCTGGGCACCAGGCCTCGACTCGGACAGAGAAAAAAAAGACACGACCCGACACCTTAAAAAAAAAGAGGATCTTCCGCATGACGAGATCTGAGTTCTCCACCATGTTCTTGTTCATGTCGACCTGGCTGCTGCTATTTCCCACTCCCCCAGCTGCCTCTTCGCTGGGGTGCCGGGCAAACTTTAGTGTCTTGAGCTGCTCCAGCCGCGTCTGCTCCTCAATTACATCCAGATTCTTGCTTTCCGACATTCGAGAATGCAAACGCAGCCGAGGGGCTTGACTGCCGGATCCGAAAAGTAAGCGCAGGATCTCTTCTGAAATCGGCACGCGGCAGTTCGGCTCAGGGCAGACGACGCCTGTCACATCGCCCTCGTCCAATCGAACCTCGCAGAAAAAAGGACCCTGGGACCCTCTGAAGTTCGCAAGGCTCGGCTCTGGCTCGGCTCTGCCGGGCGCACCTTCACGTGCATTGCCAGGCAATCGTCGCAAGTCCGATGCTTGCAGAGCAGCGTTCGGCAGGCTGACTTCGTTACATCCACTTCATCGAAGCACACGATGCCTTGGCTGCCGAAGAAGCAGCGAAGAGGACTCCAACTCCAAGTGCCAAAGCACACACGGACGGAGCCGCTCGGTCGCTTTCAAGCGCAGCCTGCGTCCTGAGAGGAGGCTTCGCCCAAAATAACCTCCGATCGCTGGCTAGGCCCGCTAGGTCCCGCTAGGTGCCAGCATGCACCAACCCGTCCTCGTCCCACTGTGCTCTTGAAGATCCGCAGGATGGAAGTCGACACTTCTCAGCCTCGCTATGTGGCGCAGCGCGGAAGAAGCTTGCGCTTCGCCTCGCCCTCGGTCAAGTCTCCGCCAAGTGGCCCTGCGGCATCTAAGGCCTCTCGCGGAGAGATCCGAAACGCAGCCGCCGCTGCCTGGCTCTACTATGTTTTTTCGAGACCGAGCAGGAGCACTTTCATGTTCGTGCTCATCAGGGCAAGCGCTCGCCTGGACGTCGAACATGTGCTTTTGCAACATGGCTTCGGCTGCATCTCGAGGTAGCAGCTGTGGTGATCTGCTGCTAGCAACCACCAAGCCTTGGCTCAGACCAGAAGTGACTTCTGTATCGGATTACCGGTCAGGCCGAGCGACCGCACAAGTCCTGGAGCTGACGAATCCTGCAAGAAGGCGGCCGTAGGATCGACTTGGGACTTTCTACTGTCGCCGAGGATCTGCTGCTCCAGAGCCGAGAGCAACTGCGTCTCTTCATGCACGACGTGCCGAGCAATCGCCACGTCGCCCAATGACCTCGGCTTCACAGAGGCACGGCACGGCAGGCACCCAGGCCACAAGGCCAGAAAGAAAAAACGCCCCGCGCATTTAACAGACGCCCAGATGCCCATCTGGGTTCAATCGTCCCAGTGCACCAGATAAGCATTCTCGGAGAGCTTGCCGCTGCTGTGGCAGCTTCCTTGCAGGCTTTGCGGTCGCAACGTGTGCAAGAGCTTCCAATCAGCAAAGTCACAAGAGCCCCTGCCACTGGCCGAAGTCGCCCGCCAGCAGCCTGGCGCAGACCACGTGGCCGTTCCTGAGGGCCACCTCGCCGAAGAGCGGCGGGGGCTTTGGATTCCAGCCCCAAGCTCTGAGATTAACTTTCGGATAACGCCAGAACACTTGTCAAGAGGGCGACGGATGCGATGACGAGATTGCAATCTGCTTTCAGCTTTCATCTTCGATTTGGTTCTGCTTTGCAGGTCGGTTGGTGCTCGGAACTCGGAACAGGGCCAACTCGGCCAACTTCCTGAAAGTCGCAGAGCCTCGCAGGGCGAATCACCATGGGCATCCTCCGCAGCGAGGAGACTTCCAGCTTGGCCCTGCAAGGGACGCCCTACGAGTATAAACCAGAAGCCGACTATGTAAAATTTTAAAAAACACATCTAGGAAATGGCATTGCTCTAGGTGACATGTTCCCTGGCACTCAGCTACACATGACATACAGATCCGTATGTTCAGAAGAGACATAGAAAACAGCGACATGCATACAACGGACACAAGCGCATGCACACATCCACCCACTGCTGGGCTCTCCTCGTCATTCCCTACATCATTGTGACCATTGCCAGGGGCTCGGGTCTTGGGCACCCCTGTCCAAGACCTTTGCATGCGCATGCTACGACGGGATGTGTATGCTTCAGAAATTACATCTAGGTAGATAGTATGACATCTATGTAGACGACGTAGATAGGTAGGTAGGTAGGTAGGTAGGTAGGCAGGCAGGCAGGCAGGCAGGCAGGCAGGGAGGTAGGTAGGTAGGTAGGTAGGTAGGTAGGTAGGTAGGTAGGTAGGCATACATACACATACATGCGTACAATGCGTACAAGTTCTGTTCGTACAAGTGTTTGTGCACATACGAACGCACACCATGCATGTCCACATATCTCATACAGGCAGCTAGCTGCATGCAGCAATTCGTTGGCCAAGTCTTGCCTCTTCTGTGTAGACAGAAGCTCCTATCGCTTCCACCTCGTGGCCCAATAGCGACAGCAGCTCCTGCAAAGCTTCTTAGTGGCGCTTCTTCGACCTGAAAGCCTGCAAAATCACCTGAATGGCTCTGTAGTGCGTACCTACTACTGCTTGCCGTTCCTGGGCCATGGCGTAGGACCCGGAAGCAGCCGCGCAGTGCAACGGCGTCTGCGCGGCTGCATTCACGACCTGAAGCCTGCGACTCAAATGGAGAAGAGAGATGAGTCGGAAGCTCATTTGTGTGAAGGCCTTATAGTCCCCTTATAAGGGGGCCATGCAGATGGGGGAATTGCAAGGTTTGATGGCATTCTGATGGTGCAAAGGCCTGATGGAACGAACGACAGGAGGTTCTGCTGTGCTCCCACGGCGCACGCAGGCCGCGGGCTCTTTTCACTGGTTTTTGGCCGAGGAGCTGCGTCAGCGGTAGCCGGCCGCTCGTCGCAAGCTCGCGCAAAAGCCACGCGCGCCGCTCGTCGGTGAGCTCCTGCGACACCAGCGACACACGCGGGTTTCCAGATAGACTTGCAGAAGAAGGCAGCAGTCAGATGCACCATGTGCTGCAAATAAGAAACGCTTTCAAATCGCACCTACTCCCAAGGCCCAAGTAAGTAGTTGGATAGTTGGACTCTCTTCTCTCTATTTGGAGTCTCCGGCAGCTTCCAAAGCCGCTGATCCCGCTGCGTCCAGACCAGGCAGCGCTGGGCGGCCTCTGCCGCGGCTACGGCGGCACGGCCTCCGCAGCGAGCCTCTCCCTGAACGGACTCGACCCCTCTAACCTTCGATCCTCTCAGCACATCCCGACACTTCTAGATAGAGGTATTGTACAAGGCTAGGACGTAACCCCAGACCTCACATTCAAGACCCCCGGGCTTCCACCCCATCAATTTGCAACCCACCTACTACAAATAACCCTTGCAAGCCCGCAAAATGCAAAGCACACCCAACAATCCAAACAATAATCCATAACACAATCCAAGACCCAACCCACCCACCAAATCCCACGCCGAAGTCGCAAATACAATCCAAAACCAAAGCACCTCCCAACACAACACCAAACCCCTAGCACAAAGCAAAATCCAGAACTCCCTTACCCAAGACCTCGCACTCAATAACCCCCCCTTCCCTACGCTTCCCCCCAATGTCTCAACCCACCTAATGAAATAAGCGTTCTCACCCCGCCATACACACAGCACACCCAACAATCCAGACAATACTCCATAACGCAACAAAAATCCAACGCAAAATCCTGAAACCGAATCCACCTAAACAATCCTTTGCCTTATCCATAAAATAGCCAATATCCTAATGAGGTCTGGGGTCTGCGCCCCTAATGGAAGATTAAGGCCCCTGCGACAAGGCCCGCTCTTCAAAGTCGACTGCGCTGTGCTTGTGGGAAGCGTTCAGGGCCCATGGGGGCAGGTGGGCTTGTTTGCTCTGCTTCTGCTCTATATTACACTTATTACTATACTATCTTATACTTCTGGTATTCAGCTCTTATCATACTAAAATAATATACAATAATAATACTTGAAGGATTGTTGATTACTGTCCAGCTCACCAGCTCTATTGTCATGGCTAGGGCCTTCGCCCACGCGGTGCTCCCCGCGTGCCAGGTAATGGATGGGCATCTCGCCCGCATCCTCGTCATCGTAACCTGCAGCAGCAGCGGCAGTGTCCGAGTCTCGGCTCTTTCGGAGCGCCAAGAGGCTGAAGAAAAGGGATGCTCTGCTGGCTGAGGCCCGTGAGGCCGGCGTGCCATGGCCTCCAGATTCAGAGCAGCAAGCAGAGCAAGCGCTGACAGAAACTCCAGAACTTAGAATCGCTGAAGTTTGCGAGCACCTTTCACGCGTGCCTCTAGAGAGAGAGAGAGAGAGAGAGAGAGAGAGAGAGGCCGCAATTGGCATTCCTTTCCCAACTCCTTCAATCCACTAAAGGAGCCAAGGACAGGTCTCCGATGGTGTGCGCTTGCCTCGTTCCGAGGGCGAGAGCGACGCCGGAGACATTTCAGCATCTTCGGGCACTCCTGTGGCAGATTCGGAGCCAGCGGCTACTCCTGGGAACGCCTGAGACCGTCCTGCACAGCAGGAGCACCGGCACTGGCAGTGCATGAGGCTCAGGAAGACGCAGCGGTACATGCGCCACCTAGGACGAGTGACGGACTTTGCTGACTCTGGTGGGATTGGTTTGAAGCGGCAAGACAGGCCAGAGCAGCAGAGCACGACACCGCCGTTCTCGGAAGTCCAGGAGGAGGTCTGCTATTGTTTCATCTCCATAAATCAAGGCTTCTCTCCTTACAAGCACCACTTTGCTCAGGCGTTCCTCTGCCAATTTGCTGGAAGAGCCAGGGCTCAGGATGCGCTGCGCCCGTCGCACTCGAGGTCGCTTTGCCCGTGCCTCGCGCTGCGCCGCCTCTGCTTGTGCCTCTCGAGTCCGCCGCCGGTCCTGCAGCTCAGTACTCCAGCGCTGCACAGAAGGCAGAGCCCTCATGGCGGAAGGAGGCGACTGCTGCAAGGTGCCTCCGCACCCTCGCGCCACGAACTCAGGCAGGAGTTGCAAGTGCAGCCTCGCCGATATGCAGCTCGTACCGTCGTACCGACTTTGCGGGGACCGGCCCCTGATCCAAGCGCGTGGCAGCAGAAAAGAGCGAAAGGGCAGAGCAGCATCAAGCAAGTCGACATGACCTGCGGGATCTGTGCACATGTCACCTCAGAGTAAAGCCTAGAGGGCCTAAGCTGCAAGGCCCTGGGCCGCTTCGCGCAAGCCCGAAACTCCTCCGAAACCCTCACACCCGACATCAGGGAGGCACGTAGGATCTTTCGACATCTCGGTCACAGCTTCCCGCAGCCACGTAGATCCTGACGTGCAGAACAGGCACAACTACGGAATCTAGGCTCCGTCGTGTGTCCATTAAGGGTTTCGATTTTCTGCTGGACTTGATGTGCTATGCTGCAGCACTGCCAAGCTGCAGCAGGCAGATGGACACCACCGCCAGAGCAAGCACGGCGAGAAAGGACATGGAAATCATGGGGAACACCACCCATTCTCCTTGAAGGCAATGTTGCTACCGCATTGGCTACAGTACTGCTCGGAGACCTGGCCCATTCGCCAAGAGGCGAGCGATGCAGAAGCAGCAGAGCCAACCCACAGCGACACATCCGAAGACGGAGGGAAAGGCAGCTGCCCAGCCGACCTGACGGGAAAAAACACGACTCGGAGCCCAGAGCGAGAGAGCGAGAAGCAGGAAATCCCCCACTTGGCCTCGTGACAAGTGATGGCTTGACCCTGCGCGAAGGGATTGGCCCAAGTGTAGGGGAAGCTCAGCCAAAAACCTTTGCTAGATGACAGCAGGGCCACAGCCGGCTATAGCTCACGGTAGGAGCCACGGCCACGGGGTCTAAGAGCGGGTCTCGCAAAAAGTGAGGCCGCAGACATCGAGAAGGAGATCAAGCGGGAGCATTGGCCTGAACGAGAAAAGCGCATCTGAAGGCTTCCACCTTTGGATCTGAGCTTTGGACGCTCGCAGTCGCAGTGGCATCCACGACATTGCTGAGCCCCCATTGCCGAACATGGAGGTGCCTATACGTCCTAGGTATCTATAGGCCTTTGGAAGGAGAGTGGAGTTGCTTGAATCGCCCTTGACAGGGCGCGGCCCGTGGCAGGACTACTCAGGGTTTCTGCAAGCTGTCGAAGCGGATCACGACTTTGTGTCTTGGCGTCGCCAACAAGTGCAGGGCGGGAGCACAGCTCTGGAGAAAGGTTCCCTCAACCCTCCAGTTTCTCACGAGCCACGCCAGTCAGCATCGCCTCAATCCTCCTCAGTCAGACTCGCCCTCCGCACGAAGGCAAAGCCACTCTGGGCAGTCCCGTGCTGTGCTTCCGAGCTGCAGGCTTGGGGACCAAGCGATCGCCGACATACAAGTAACCATCGCCTCCAAATTGCGCAGATATCCGCACCTTACAATGGTCCTCGCCCGCCATGCCCGCCTGTCTTGGGCATCATGCGGTTGGACTGCAGAAATCTTTGGATGCCCTTCAGCCCCTCAACCTTCTCCACATAGGAGGCCAACAGTGGGAAGCCACAGTCCTGTGGACGAAAGAAGCGACTCTCCATGTTGGCAATCTGGCAATCTGCTCCCTTGCCTGGAGCTTCTGGACATGCTCCTGCAGAGGCGCGGTTTTTTACCGTCTCCTTTCGACAAGTCGCAAGGCTCGATTTAGAAGAACGTGCCTGCAGCTCCCAGTAGAGTGCCAAGTCCACGTAGCTCACCGAGCCTTGGCCTTGGCCTTTGCCAAGGCTGCCGAGCAACCAGCCTGAGAAAAGGCTCCCCGGACAAGAAAGTCTCGACCCGATCTCCCTGCGCCTGAAGAGGACTTCTCCAGCAAGTCGCTCCAACACTTCAGGGCAGCCACCGCCTTCTGCGTGCTGTCGAAATCCAAGAATTCGCGCCGCGAGATGGCCTGCCGTTCCCAGGCCTCAAGAAAAGAGGTCCTGGCCTCCTTAGCCGCACCTTCATGTCAGTCTGCCCCTGCATGGCCGTGACTAGGTCGGGCTGGAGTGCCGCCAGTGCACCTCCTCAGCTCCGGGCTTTCGGTGTTTGCTCAAAGCAGCATCCTAGTGGCCATCAATCTTGCCCTCTGTCTGCAGCATTTCATGCCTCAGCTCATTTACGTTCAACGCCGACATGCCAAAGTGCTAAGTGCTCGATCTGACAATCTCATGCCGATTTGCAGCATGTCGCAACTTGCCCTCTCGTCCTCACCCTTGCCTGCCAGCCCGCAGAGGTTCGCGACATATCCTGAGGGAAGCCAAAAAAAACATGAGATGCAAGGACTTCCGGTTGCTCGACTGCGACAATTGCAGCAGGATCACGGAGGATGGCCTTCGACTGCACCAATTCCGTTCCCTTCAGTGTACGAAGAAGTGGCAAACGCCCGAAGATGAGCGTCGGCTTCAGCTTCTCCCGGAATTCCGGCTCAGGCAGGGCGGTTGTGGGTGGCTTAGTTGATTAGTTGCTTCAGTGCTCCTGCAACAGAGATGCAGCCATGGGTCAGATGTGACGACCTTGAGCATGTAAGGATACCCGGCGTACTCCAAGCACATCTGGGGCAACTGTCCCAGGCTCCGGAGTGCAAAGTAGATCAGCTCAACCTGACATCTCCATTATTACGCTCCAGGACAGACTCCAAACTTCTCGACTGCTTGTGGTCTTGTGCAGCTCTGCTGCGGGCTTGGCTTTTGCAAACTTGCCAATCCCAGGGCCCGCCAGTGTCCAAAGCTGGGGACCCTCGTAGGTGTTTGGAACCTGAGGGCATGGGGGCACCGGAAGGCGGCAAAGCTTTTCTTTTCACATCCGGGCCGGGACGCCATAAGGCCTCCGGCTTCGAAGAGCTGCCGTCTCACTGTCAGCGGGTCGTCGCCATACTTTGCCGCCTTCGCCGGCTTGGCCTTCCTTTCCGAGAACTCCAAAGGCGAATGCTGAACCAAATCTCCGTGCCGGCCAAGCTTCTGTGCACTTGCCGGACGCTTCATCTTTCTAGAGATGCACTGAGATTTGAGCCGATACCCGTATGGACAGAACTTCAGCCGTATTGTCATTGCATACTTCTTCACAGGCTTGTGCCACCGTTTGCCTAGCTATCTGTCAATTCATCTGTGACCTTGTCTCATTCGTGTCCTTTCCTCTGTGCTGTCCTGCTATCTGTTGCCGCCTTGTTCTGAGTTGCCGCTCTCCACAAAACCGGGTGGGTACACATGCAAAAACAGCTCCTACTCTGGTGGGCACTCCAAGCTCAGCACACAGAAGCTACACAAAGACGTCGGGTGGCAAGTAACGGATTATCTTGGGCTAAGTCTTGTGGCAGTAGACATACTCAACGAAGTCAAGAACACTAGGATGAATGTCTTACGGATGACTGTGACGACCTACTTGGGCAGTGGGCAGCACACACACACACACACATACACGCACACGCTTGAATACATGACATCAAAACAAGCAAGCGAACCCACAAACAAACAACCCACACCCACCCACCCACACACAGACACAGACGAACAGAGACACACAAAGACACACACACACACACACACAGAGACACATGGAGACACGCAGAGACACCCAAAGACACAGACAGACACACGCACACAGACAGACAGCCAGCCAGGCAGCCAGGCAGCCACTCAGCCAGGCAGACAGACAGACACACCGACACAGACACACAGAGACCCGCACAGACACACAGACACACGGAGACACACAGAGACACACAGAGACCCACAGAGACACCACACACAGAGACAGAGACACACAGAGACACAAGGAGACACGGAGACACACGGAGACACACAGAGACACCCAAAGGCACAGACAAACACACGCACACACAGGCACAGAGACATAGAGACGCAGAGACAGACAAACAAAAAGAGACACAGACACACACACACACACACAGAAACTGGTTGAGCCGCTCGGAGAGCGCTTTTGGGCCTCAAGTGGCCGGAACCACCAGCGACCGGCCGGGAGTACTTTAAATGTCTCCATGCTCCCACTGCAGGAGAGGAAACAAACGGTGGCTCGCAATTCGCGGATCCACCGAGAAGTGACACAAACTCTGGTCAAAATATGTATGTATTCCAGAGATTTCACAGTCTGGGCCCTGTTCCAGGGTCCGTGGACAAACTCAGCAGGTTGCTCATCTCATCTCTTGGGCTTCGCAGTGATCACTGCGTCGAAAGCTTCCTGAAGGGCACCATTCATACGGCTTTGCCTTTAGTGAGCTGACCGTCACACCTCAGAGGAGAGCCCCGGCCATTCGCGTCCTTGAAGCCCTCCGGGGTGTAAAGCTGAAGGGCCTTGTGGAACTCGCGGTACCGGTAGGTCCCTGGAGTCAGGCACTGCACGACTTCGTCCAAGATGAGATGACCATCTTTGTTCTTGTCAATGACCTGGGTCAGGGGTGTAGACTCCAGGAATCGAATTAAAGCGGGCCTCTGAATCTTCAAACCAAGAGCATTAAAGGCTTGCCGATGTCTGTCATCGATGTGGCTCTCGTAGTCCGACATCCTTTGTTCAGCGTGAAAGGAAGCGGAATGGAGCGGGCACTCGCGGGGGGAGAGTTCGCTTCGCCAAGACTCTGCGCGGTCACGATCTGGTGCAAGTTCGGCCTCGGCCCGCCCTTTCTGCGGAGCTACCAGAGAACGGCCCAGAGTTCGGTACATGGCGAACAACTGCGGCAAGGGAGCATGACCAGCTTCTTGAAGCTCTGCCTGTCCCAATGGCCTTTTTCCAGCCATGTCGGCTTGGAAATCTGCCAGCGCAGGCACAGGCTCTGCTATCCGAGCATGGGCAAGAAATCCAACACCAAACCCCTTTGTGGGCCCCTCCTGGATGATGGTGTCAGCATGCTTTGCCAGCATGTGGGCATAATTCCTTGGTGCCGTCCCACATCGGCAGCAGAGTCCCTGATGACTGGAACGGTGACGAGATGCGAAAAAAGGAGAACACTCTCCTCTTCGGAGAGGATCCCATTAGAATCCTTGTCGGCTTGGTGAAAGACTTGCCTTAGGAGGTGAAAAGTGTCAAAACCCTATACAAGCAGAGTTTCAAGGCGCACCGAGCTCTCACCTGTGGTGCAGAGCTGCTTGCGGATTACATGCCCATTGGATGTGCAGCTGCTGCCAGGTAGCTTCACAACGGGGCGTATTCTTCTCTCGAGCTCCTTCCTGAACGGCAGAACTTGGTCTTGGCCGAACCCTGTTTCCCCATTAAACCTATAAGTGAAAATTCAACCTCACAATACAACCCCGTAACCCAATGGCCCTACAGTCCAAGCCCACTCGAAGCGCGCGACCGTACACACCTCACTCGTTCTGCTGCTGTCGAGGATCGCTAGCCATTGGTTGACGGACTCGGCGTTCCTGATCACCGCATCGCCTCTTCCAACTGGCTTGATCTTTTCGGAGTATTCTCTCAAAATAGAGTCGAGCTCTTCGAAATACCTTTCGCAAGAGGCTGCTATGTGCCAGAAGACGAGCAACTCAAGCATGCTGCCGAGCAACTTAGTGAAGCAGGGCGTGCCGCAAAGCCAGCACACAAGCTCCTCAAACTCAATATGGCCATCCTGACGCGCTGGATGGCGGATGGCGGGTGGACTGTTTAGAGATTGCCCTGCACGCCTGGTCTTTGTCGACAGTATCAAAAAGTAAGTCTATCTGCCGCGCTGTCATCCTTCCATGCTGAAAGACTCACGACCCACGCGTCTACTTTGGGAGAGCAAGCGGTCGAGGCAGCTGCTTCATGTTCAGCTTTGACAGTACCGCTGCAAACCTTGGCCACATCATTCTGCATCATCGACCAGGAATGGGCAAATGTCCCGCAGTTCTGTGCTGCATGCGCTTTTGACGAAAACCACCTTCTGCAAAAGTAATCTTTGCCGGCCGCGATGCTCTTTCTTGCTGATTGTGCCGTTGCCATCCTCGCCAGATGCAGGGCTCAGTCTGACGGGTTGGTGGCAGTTGGTGGGTCTCAAGGACTGAGCTGAGGCACTGAATCGAAAGACTTGAAAGCCGTGATCATGGCTTGCTCTGACTGGGCCTTTGTCACAGCTCCTGGCCGGGACAGCTACAGGCTACAAGCATGGCCAACAAGGCCACCAGAGGCTTCATACGGCTGGTCCTTGTAGCGCTGACGCCGCGATCTTTTTCGTGGCTGCTGTGGGAGTGTCGTCATGCTCCCCAGAAAGGCCGCTTCCCATGGGGCCGATGACTACGTCGTATACCCGTGTTTAAGGAACATGTCCAGTGTGCTCGGCGGCTTAGCGAACGGCTAGAGAGACTGCAAGTTGCTTATCAGGCTTGCAGTTATTGCGAGCACCCTTTTTCCGGGCTGCTCTCGCTGCAGGCAGTCTTGAGGTTTACTCCGCACACGGTTGAGCTGGAATGCAAAGGAACAGTTGCACCCTCACAGACCCACAGATCTCTCCTTTTCGGCACAGGCGCACAGACAGAGTTGCATTCGCAGTTGATTTCTGCGCTGTCCATTGTCCAAGACTAGCTGCGGCTCGAGGCTCGACGAATGTCCTTCTTGCATCCCGCCTTGCCGCATGCCGAAGCATTTCAGAGGCTAGCGGCTAGTTGAGAAGAGCCGCCAAGAGCAGCCCCAATGCCACAGCCTTCGCCAGTGTGAGGCAGGGCAGGAACGCGGTGATCTTTGCACTGCCTCCTCGAAGTTCCGTTTCCTTCTCACCGCAGTCCAGGTGCTGAACCAAAGCAAAGGTGCTTGAGTCCTTGACGGTGTGATGGTCCTTGCTGCGTCCCTGGTGTGAAGCTAGGTAGGCATGCCACACCTGAGAAGCATACGCTTTTCCTCCAGAATCTTCCCAACCAAGTTTTCACCGACGAAGTCGCTGTTAACGAGTACAGCTCCCCAGAAACGGTCCTCCATAAAGAAAATGCGGGCATGGCCTGTCTTCACCAGCAAAGCTGCGAGTGCCGGGTGCTGATCCATCGCTAGGAAAATGCAGTGGCGCATCGCTTTCACAGCCCAGCCGAGGAACCTCCGCACTATGCAACAGCTGTTGTCAAGAACGTCTGCACAAGCGGTACAGAGACACAACTGCCGACGCACATACAGACACATATCTACACGTACAACACATGTAGACGCCCACACGTGTTTGCATCTCTTGTTTCATTCTGCTGCACACAACGGGGCTGTCGACCACGACTGTGTGAGCCGAGATGCCAATCATCCCGAACTGCAGTTCGCAGCGGGTCCTGCGAGATCATGGACCGCAGATTGGCTGCAGCCGGTTTGGCCTTACGAATCAGCTCACGGCAGCGTCGGTCCAGGAAATGCTGGGCCATGAAAAGGTGGTAGGGTGAAGCCCAAAGCTCTTCGGGCTCCGGGTAGGCAACGGGCATCGGATGAAATGGCGACAATGCTTGGAGAGTCCCAGCGCCCTGTAGGCCGCCCGGCCCAACTAAGACATAGTCTCGCTCTGGGCTGGGCCCCAGAGGCCCTCTGGGCCCTAAGTCGAAGAGCTCTGCTTGGCAATTGGCGCAAAGGCCCCAAATACTGAACTCCAGCTCAGAGCTCACGGAGCCGAAGGAGCCGAAGCCCACTTCCTTGCCACATTTCGAGCACGACTCGCCTGGAACAGATTTTGGGGCCAGTTGAAGAAGCTCCAGCTTCTTCTCCTGCTCCTCGGCAACCTTCCTGATGCTTGCGCTGTCTAAGTTTTGCAGCAACTTCTTGATTTCATCGTCATCGTCATCTGCGCGAGAAACATCCTTGCTCTTGCTCTTGAGTGTCTGCACTTCTGAGAGCTCTCGGAGCTCTCGCCTCCTCTGCACCAAAGGTGAGATGCCTGTCCCAAGAGCCGGCGTCTTCTCAGCCCGGTTCACCGAGTGCTTTCGTTTCTGTAGCCAAGCCTCGACGCGCACACAGGACTTTTCCATGGACCTGGAAAGCTCCAGCACTTCCTTTGTCGGGGAGGTTGTTGAAGCTACGTCTGAGCCCGCATCTGAGCCCAGATTTGACCCGGCATCTGATCCGGGCATGGGTGAAATGGGAGGCGTGCTGGCATCCACCACCATGTGCAGCAAGGTCTCCCCCAGAGCGATGGAAGCCCTCTGCGCGGCCCGATCACCCAGAGCAGCTGCCTCCTCTAAGCCGAGGCTAGCACGGTGCAGCAAACGCCCAATTTCTGCGTTTGCCTCCCCGACCACTGCGAAGCCTGCAGCCACCAAAGACCGACGAACGCTTTCCAAGGCGGTGGGTGCCGTGTTGGCGACGGCGGTGACTGCCTGTTGCTCTGCAAGTCGACGTCCCTGCCGGCCTCTGTAGCAAGCTTGGATCCTCACGGCTGCATCCCGCTCCGCAGTCACCGAGCTCGAGCTCGGGGGAGTGGCACCGGCTGTGTCGGCAAACATGCCAAAAAAGCTGCCGTCGCCGTCTGCTTTTTTGCTTGTCGATAATCGGCCGTGAAGCTTGTAAACTTTCACCCGCAGCGCACCGATCGAGGCTATGTCCATCCTTCTCTCGCTTCTCTTGGCGAGCTCCCTACGTGCCAGCCGGCCTCGCTGTAAGGCCTGGATTCGCGAGGCTGCTCGATGCCGAGAGGCCGCATCTGCCTCTGCATCTGCCTCTGCATCTTCCTGAGCTGACAGCACCTGCGTCGCCTCAGTCGGCGAGTCGAAGAAACCTTTGGGGCTCGCAGAGCGGCTACGGGAGCTACCAGCTGCTTCGTGCCCTTCGTGCAGCTTGTGGATACGGACCGCCCTCATGCGAAGGCTGGCAATCGAGGAGACACGCAGCTTGGCCTTCTCCTTTCGCAAGTTCTGGGCGAGTCGCATTCTGATCACTGCTTGGATCTTGATGACTGAAGCTTGCACCCTCTTTTGCTGCAGTGAGAGAAGGGTTCTTCGTGCTAGCCAAGCGCGGCATGCACCTCGAATCTCATCTGTGGCCGCAGGTGCGTTGGCGGAAGAAAGGCCCGAGCTTGGTGCTTCCGCTGCTGGTAGGAAGGACTGGGCTTGGTCGCGACTTGGCGAAGGCGAGGCCGAGGAGCTGTCATATGGGTGTAGCTTGTGGACTTTCACACGGAGGCGTGCGGTTGCCGCGATTCGCATATCCGCTCTCGCGTCTCTCACGACTTTCACGGCCCGCCTCTCGCGGCGTCCTCGGAATGCGGCCTGGATGCGGACCACTGCGTGCAACTGCTCCACGCTTCTGAGCTTCGCGACTTCTGGCTTGGGCAGCCGCAGCCGCTCTCGTCGCCGACGGTACATGGCTTGGATGCGACTCGCTGCCATGGAAATCTCGAGCTTTGGGTTCCTCGACGCAGCTGAGGGAGTCGGAGTGGGTTTCGGAGCAGCTGCTTTCGCAAAGTCACGCTCTTTGACTCGCTTCTTGGGCGATGTCTTCCGCGCATGGAGCCGCGTGTAAGCAAGGCTTAGGGACTCCACTGTGAGCGTCGCCGGAGCCTTTTCCAAGCGCACTGGGAGCTCCGAAGCGTCCGAAACCTGAGACTCCAAGGCAACCCGCGAAGCGTAGAGAGAGAGAGAGAGAGCGAGAGGGAGAGATCATAGAGCGAGGGAGGGGGAGGCCTGTCCACCTGAAGACTTGGAATGCTCTGTTTGTTACTATTATGCGCCTTGAAGATCTCACTCCTCAAAAATCTCAAAAATACCCCTTCAAGAGCATTGGAAGATCCGGTCCAAGGCTCGGTCATAGGAGTAGGCCTACGGGAGGATTTTAGGGTTTCTGACAGAGGCACCCGATCGTCGACTCGCCTCAGCCGTGTGGCGCTGCGCTGCGCCGGGGGAGCCTGATCTTCATCGCGAGCCACGTGCTGATCGCTCCGGGGCTCCAAGAGAGTCTCTGCCGTGCCAGGCGAGGGGGGAGGCTTCTCCGTCTCCACTCCCGGTGAGCTCGAGGCTGGTTTGGTTGGAGGATCAACCTCGCCCTTCTGGCCTAGCCTTGCTCCGTCTGTCTGCTTGCTGGACACTTGCGAGAATAGACTTGGAACATCCTGCTGTTCATCTCGTGGTGTGTTTTCGCTGTTCACTGTGAAATCCTGGACGGCTTGCTTGTCAGAGCGTGGCAAAGGTGGTGCTGTGCCTGCAGCCGCTGTTTCTGCAGCTGCATGACTTGGAACATCCTGCTGTTCATCTCGTGCTGTGTTTGCGCTGTTCACTGCGTCCT